CTCCAAGTTTATATTTATCTCCCCGTACACCGTTGGAGTTAAATTGGCCTTCTATCCACATAATTCTATTAAGCTCTTCCAACAACGGTTACACCATATACAAGACCCCTAGACATCAGACCCCCTATGTTTGGTAAAATGTAAAAGTTCTGGGGTATACAAATAGGAAGAACTAAAGAAATAGAACAAATCAGACCCATACCCATACAAGAGATCCACGGGTCTAATTATAAGCTTAGGTTTTAAAATAAACATGCCCGGGTCTTTTATATGGCAGTTTACGGTATTTTTTTTGTCTTTTTACAATATTTAATAGCTTGCTTACGTTTTTAATTAACATATCTAAAACGTTCTTCGTTACTTTCAATTTCGATTTTAATTTTGTTTTTTTATATAGGGCTCAGTGGTCTTATGTATGTTGATAGAGGTTAGAATCTTTTGTTCATCAGTGGTTATTAATATTCAAAATAGATTATTCGAAGCTGAAGCATCTTTGCATCACTTTAACATTTCTTTAAAGTATGACTAAGTCTGTTTGAATACTGCCAATTGAAAGCTAGGAAGTCTAAAATAGAATTCTTAGATGATAGAATACGAGTTTTAAATAATACTAATACGTGATCAAAAAATATTACAATTGGTTATTCTAGTCAGTTGATTAAAAGTCTTCATTCCATTATATAAAGAATCCTATTTTTAAACTTTTTAGTTTTCATCTGGCATATTCATATATGAGTGCGTGAGAGTAAAAACATATAATCAATCATAGTAAATCATTAAATCTATTTCCGGGTTTTCACTCTCACACACTCATATAATAGATTTATAAGTGCGGGGGTTTTTTTTAACAGTCAAATCAGAATTTTTTTTACTCAATAAATCTGGATTATACATGCGGGCGGATTTTTTCGATTTGGTCATTATTAAAAATTAATGATAACATTTCATAAAATTTAATTGATCTCCGGTAAAATTGAATTGAACAATTTTATTTGATTGATCAATGGCTTGCCTTAACTATAATCCGCTTATGAATCGCTTAATTCACCTTTTATTTATGTTCAATGCCGGAGATGTAACTTTTTTAAGGCATATCATATCGCCTTTGTCATTAGTGAAGAAGATGATAAGGCATACTGGCCTTCATTACTGTTTAAATTTCCAAACCACAATAAGGTCGGTCAATAGCTCACCCAACTTAGTTAGTTGAAAAATGTGAGTAATACTCCTTTTAGTGTTAAATACTCAGTACTTTAACTTTTATAAGTTTACTCACCTATCGTCTATATTTATTTTAAATCCGGAGATGGTTAATTTCTTAAACATATCACTTTTCTTCTAAAGTTAGTTTAAAATCGTACCTCGTGTTGCCAAACACTCAAAGTGGGAACCATAAAGTTTCAAAATTAAAAGGCGTATGCCTTATAAAAAAAATATTCCGTACCAGTGAAGGCAGTGGGGTGTTCTAACGTTTAACGAAGCAGATCATAGGATTTTTATAGGGACTGGGTCCGGGATCTAAGTCCTATATAACTCTCACGTGATTTAAGGACCGAATCCCTGCCGATCCTTAAAGGATCGGACCGGACCGGCTAGGACCCGATCCCTAAGGACCGATTAACATCCCTATGTGTCCTAAATTTTTGTACAAATATTATACACTATTTCCTAAATGTGCTCAACTTACCTTAAGCCTATATGTTTATAAGACTTTTTTAATAAGATAAACAATTATCTTAATTTTGAGGTTATTATGATTAGTTTATCAAATTTAGTTTACAAAAACTTGGTTAGCGATGTATAATAACAAATTCATAATTGAAAGAATATGTGTGATTAGCTTTCATACTATCTAGATAAGGCCATACAAATTTAATCATAAGCCGACCTGATCAAATTTGCAAAACTTCAAAAAAAATTATATTTATTTTTTATACAAAAAAAATTTCAAAAAAAATTAAAAGCCGAATTACCAGTCATTTTTAAATCATGTTATAGGAATCAAAAATCATCTTTTTATGGCCTAACATGCAAATTTTAGTAAAATTTATTCATTAAACTATATGTAGTATCTCTGGAGTTTATATCAATATTATCAAAAAAATTGACGTGTTCCATCAAAAACTGCAAACTAGTCATACTCTTGCTTTCAATTACTTTTAAACATCGCTAATTAAGCCAGAAATTTAGCAAGGCATCAGCCTAAATAATTAATATCTTACCTTTTATAAAAATAGGATGCCTCTGAAGCGGAATTCCAACCTAGTGATCTTATTAAAAAATTTAAAAAATGGACAAGTACTTATGATATTTATTCTTTGAAAAAAAATCATTAAAGATAACAAAATAACCGACGAAATGTTAGTTGAGTCTATTGAGTTATTAGCTGATTCATCCGTATTTAAATATTATAGCATTGAAGCTATCTCTAAGCTAGAATCGCATCTTCGCACCTTAGTTTCTCTTATAGAAGTAATTTGCAAAAATGAAATTCGGCTTCGACATGATTTGAGAGAAAAAATTTATGCTCAATTAGGAAAATTTGCTGATATACATTTTCGATCAACTGAAGTAAATGAAGAAGGTTTTAATAAAGTTTTTAGATCAAAATTTGAAGAGTTTAATCCACGTTCAAATGATGGTAACATTCATAAGGATGGAAAACGTAATTACAATATTGATTTTTTGTTATTACACTTGCGCGATACTCTTCATTGTATGAGAGATGATGAGAATAAATTTTTGGAAATATGGAATAGAATAAAAACACTCCTTTGTATGATATTAGGTATTGCCCCAGGACTTGTAAAAACTGGAATTTCACATGGTGCAGATTTACCTATAGAAAATGGTGTAGAATTACTGTTTAAATGTTTACATGAAGCTTTTAATTGGAAGTATCCAATCCCTTCATGGTATTATGAATGGAGAACACTACTTGAACTACATTTTAATATTCAAAATTTTCTTCAAGAATGTTCACTTTCTTTAAAATATGGTGAAGGCTTATTACTTGAATGTTTATGGCATTGTGTGTCAAAAAGTTGGTCAAATCCAATATCTCAAACAGAGTATCTTATAAATCAGAAACATTTTATTAATAATCTTTTGGGTAAAGAACCACTTGCATTTCCACATTCCTTATGGTTTGGAGCTCTTGATATTGCACAAGACTTAATTACAAAAACTCAAAAAGATTCAACATTAGGTATTTGTTATTATTTAGCATTAGAATCTTTGCAAAAAGCATCTTCATCTTTTATTCGTTTCAAAGCTATAGAAGTTCTAATTAAATTATCAAAAAGAAATACACTATTTTACAACATTATTGAAAATGATTTTAAAGATTATAAATACTCTTTAGATTCAGTAGAGGGATTAAAGTTGCATCATATGATTGAAGCAATTCGTATAAAAATTTCGCAAGATGAAAAATTAGTAGACTCTAACAAAAATAATATATGTAATTTAAAGGAGAAAGAAAAGGCTATTACAACATACGGATTAACATTGCCTCATACTATAATTCCAAGTGATAATTTGATTTCAGATATTGTTACTACAGAATTATCTTGTCCAGTAACTTATCAAATTCCCAACAACTTCCAAATCTTACCCTGTGAACATTTAATTAGTCCCGAGGCATTGCAACAAATTATTAATAAAACATCGCAACCAACTTGTCCACACTGTCGGAAAATAATTGATTTAAATTCTGTGATTAATTTGCCACAGTCAGCAATTTATCAAGGAATCCGTAATCATTTGCCTGAAGACAATAAGAATATTGCCCAAGATAACAATACAAATATTTCAGATGAAAGTAGTGATGAAGAAGAAATTAATATCTCTAAACTCAAATCTCAACAAAAATTTAGGATATCTGATTCAACAATAAAAAAATTCTTTAAGGCACCTAAATTTTTTAATCTGTCTTTAAGAAAAGCAAATGCAGCATATAAGTTGGGAGAGCTTGAAACGGCTATTAATGCATTACAGAAATTCTTGAAGAATATCCCACAAGCTATTCATTACGATGTTATCGGGCCAAAATATATATAGAATATAATAAAATTCATGAAGCAATTAATGATTTAGATTCAGCTATAAAACAGAAATCAAATAAGTTTGATGCTTATTCACTACGAGGAATAGCTTATTTTAAAATTAAAAAATATGATGAATCATTTAACGACCTAACAAGATCATTAGATATAGAACCATATAATGCATCCGCATTAAGTTATCGTGGTATAACTTATTATATGGCGAAAGAATATGACAATTCAATTTTGGATTTGACAAAATCATTAAAGATTGAACCGAATAATGCATCAACACTTAGTTATCGTGGCATGGCTTATTATATGAGAAAGGAATATAATAAATCACTTTTAGATTTAATAAAGTCATTATAAATAGAACCAAATAATGCATTGACACTAAGTTATCAGGCAATGGCCCATTATATGATGAAGAAATATAATAAATCACTTTCAGATTTAACAAAGTTATTAGAGATTGAGCCAAATAATGCACTTGCATTTCGTTATCGTGGCATGACTTATTATATGATAAAAGAATATAATAAATCACTTGTGGATTTAACAAAATCATTAGAGATCGAACCAAATAATGCATCCGCATTAAATTACCGTGGAATGACTTATTATATGATGAAAGAATATGATAAATCACTTTTTGATTTAACAAAATCATTAGAGATCGAGCCAAATAATGCATCTGCATTAAATTATCGTGGAATGACTTATTACCTGATGAAGAAATATGATAAATCACTTTTGGATTTAATAAAATCATTGGAAATTGAGCCAAATAATGAATCACTTTGGAATTTAAGAGAATTGTTGAAATTTAAATCAAATGATGTATCTGCATTAATATATCGTATCATTTATTACATAATGAAAGAGTATGACAAATCACTTTTGGTTATAACAAAGTCATTAGAGATCGAGCCAAATAATGCATCGGCACTAAGCTATCGTGGCATGACTCATTATATGATGAAGGAATATAATAACTCACTTTCAGATTTAACAAATTCATTAAAGATTGAGCCAAATAATGCACTTGCATTACGTTATCGTGGCATGGCTTATTATTTTTTGAAAGAATATAATAAATCACTTTTGGATTTAACAAAATCATTAGAGATTGAGCCAAACAATGCACTGACATTAAGTCATCGTGGCATTACCTATTGCATGATGAAAGAATATGATAAATCACTTCTGGATTTAACAAAATCATTAGAGATCGAGCCAAATAATGTGTCAGCACTAAGTTATCGTGGCATGACTTATTTTATGAAGAAATATTATAAATCACTTATGGATTTAACAAAATCGTTAGAGATCGAGCCAAATAACATAGCAGCACTAAGTTATCGTGGCATGACTTACTATATGATGAATAAATATGGCAAATCACTTTTGGATTTAACAAAACTATTGGAGAATGAGCCAAATAACGCATCTGCATTAAGGTATCGTGGCATGATTTATTATACGATGAAGGAATATGACAAATCACTTTTGGATTTAACAAAATCATTAGAGATTGAGCCAAATAACGCATCTGCATTAAGTTATTGTGGTATGATTTATTATATGATGGAGGAATATAGTAAATCACTTTTGGATTTAACAAAATCACTAAAGATTTTGAGCCAAATAATATATTTGCATTAAGTTATCGTAGCA